CTTCAGCCTGGCTGGGAGTTCACAGTGGTTGTGTCTATGCTGCCTGTGAGCTGGGTCCCACTCGTGTCCCGTTTTTGTGCCTGCTGTGGTATAATGAAATAATTAAAGTAGTTCTTAAAATAGGGTGAGTCTTTCCCTCCAGTTATGTTGTGGGAATTTAGCACTAGCCTGCTCCTCCATCTCTGAACCAGGGCATACAGGCATCAAATTTACTGTAATAGAATCAGGGCTGCAGCATAGTCTCATTTTAAGCCACTTTAATGAAGTAGAAAATTCAGAGTTTATTGCAAATGTTCTTTACAATCAGATGTTTCCTGTTCCTGAAGATAAGTCCTGTTGCAGAGTGACTGTTCCCTTCCCATAAAGGGAATAAGTTTGAACTCTGATCTCAGGGCTCCCATCAGTTGGAGATGGCACTGGGTTGAAATTGTTCATGGTTTGGTGCCAAGATCTGCAGCCTTTGCACTGGCTGAGTTCTTGTCCTGATATATCTAATTGTGGATACTGAAAAAACTATCTACAATTGAAAGTGTTGGGCACAAGCAGTATGCTCGGAATTATAACTTCTGTGGTCTGCTAGTATGGGAACACAGTGCTTATATAGGAGCACAGGGAGTGTCAGAATGACTGACTGGAGTAATGGGCGGCTGAGAGCATCCTTGGGGCTGTGGCATTAGAAGTGCTCCAGTGACAGTGTAATTAGGACAGAGCCATCTCAGAGCACTTGGAAAAAGGTGGGAAAGTGAAGCTCAGTTGAAGTAGAATACTTAATAGATTGATAGGATGGTATTTATCATTAGACTGAAAACCTGACTTAACCCTTCCCTATATCTGCCTTTAAAGAATGAAATGAAGGATTAGGAATAGAAGTATAACCTCTCTGGTAAAGTTCAAGTAGTGTTGTAAGGAGAAAATAATCTCTGAAGTCTTTCTTATGTTTGGGAAACCAGAGGAACATACATGTCATCTGTTTAAAAAAGAAAATCTTATACCAGTTGTCCTTTCTGTTTTATGTCCTGCCTTTACGTTTATATCTTCTTAATTGGGTGTTTAGATACAGTGTGTTTGTTGTTGTTGTTTTTTTGCCTAATAGTTGTGTACTGCACAGGTTTTCTTTTTACACTGGTATTTTGTTTTGAACAGGAGGTGGTCTCAGACAGATCCTCTGCCCAATGAATCCCCACTGTAATTTGTGCTCTGAGACTGGCACTGCAGTTTTGAGCTTTGTTTTCTGAATAGGCAAAATATAACAGTATATTTCTTTTATTACTGACATCTTTTGGAGAGTTCTGTGCCGTAAGTGTAGGAACTTTCTGTTATAAGCTGTGTGATAGAAAATTGATCTCAAATAGGAAATAAACTGTGAAGGTTAATAGTTTTTCTGATCCTATCCTTTTCATTGCTCACTTGAGAGAGCTGGATGACTGTTCTCAAATTAGTCTTCTAATTCCATGGTAAAAAAGCAGCACAACATTCTTTTCATTCTGACTTAAATAAAATTTTTATTCTTTAATGTTGTTACTGCAGTCGCCACCCCCAGTGCAGGTGATGGAGCTCTGCAGGATATCTGGTCTCAGGTCAGGCTCTGGAGGTAGAAATTACATTGCCCATGATTAACTACGAGCTGCAGTTCTGTAGGAGTCTGAAGTATCTGGAGAGACGGGGAATGAGAAAGTGAGCAGTGAGCATGCATGCAAGAAACCAGCACGGACCTCAGAGCTGTGTGAGGGGATGGATGTGCCAAATTGCAGCCTTATGCTGCGAGGTATTACTGTATTGTTCCCTGTTTGACTTGGGCTGTGGAGCATATTACTGTAATGCTGTGTGATATTGAGGCTGTGTTAAGCCTTTATTATTAAACTCTTATGACTCCTTCGGGACTAATGGTTTGTGGTTTCTCAGGACCATTTCCAAAGCAGCTCACAACCTTTCTTGCTCATTTGTTGTTGTTTTTTGTTTTTTTTTCAACCAGGGAAGTCAGTTTATTGCTTAAGTCTGGAGATGGTTTTTTGTTTTTTGTTTGGTTTTATTTAATAAAAAAGAAAAAAGAAAAAAAAAAAGGAAAAGAAGGATGACAATTTTATTGGTTCAACTTTTTTGGTTTCCAATAGGATGAGACAATTACGTTTTCCGGCATCTCCTACAAACCCTACCATTTGTTGGTCAGGGTCATAACTCTTACAAAGACTCAGATCTTCATTTATTTTCCTTTCATTGCAGACATAGCTGTTCAGAGACTGCAGTAGCAGAAGGCACTGTGAGGAATAGTAGCTAGATGGTTATGTGGTGTCCAGAAATGCCTGGGCCTGAGGTGGCAATCTGCAGCAAGTTGAGTGATTTCTTCTAACTGAGGATGGGACTGTGGCATAGAGTTATCCAGGATGTGGGAAAGCTCGTATTTAACCAAATGAGGGATTTGCAGGGGGCATATGATCATGGATTCCTTAAGGTTAGAATGACCACTAATATCATCTAGTCCAACAGCCAGCCCATCCCCACCATGCCCACCAGGATAGAGGATGCTGGGCTGGAAATGATGTGTGCATATGTGGAAGGGAGATGAGGATCAGGGACTTCTGAAGGCCAGTCCTTGCTCAGAAACGCAATCAATCCTGTACCTGAGTGACTTACTGGGTCTGCATGGTAGCTGTGCTTAAGTGCAACAATGCACGGATCCATCTCCAGGTTGTAGGATTTTCTTGACTTCAGGACAGGGCTGTGCAAATGCAGTTGTGTTCCTTCAGAGGCGAGTCTATAGGATTGCTGGAATAGAGTTAAGTTTGTTCTTGGAGCAGAGTTGAGTCTCTGCAGTTTGTCTTGGAGCTTCTTTCTTCCAAACTGAGCTGAATCCTTGTGTTTCAGCCCTCCTGCAAGAGGGGTTTGCTGGCTCTTCTTGGCCTCAGGGTGACCCAAGGCTGATGAGGTCTCAGATGTTGTTATTCCTGGCACTGAGTGCCCTGTGTGTTTCTCCTGATGGACTGGATCAGATCCAGGATGACATTTGGTTTGTGCCGTATCTTGATTTTTGGTTTGTGCATTTGTTTTTGCTTTTATTCTTTTTTAAACTGCTGTATCCAGTGAAAAAAGATGGTAGGTAACATGAAAACAGATGTAAAAGCTTGACATTGTGGTGCACACAACCCTAAGCTGTGCATTATTGCGTGATGGCTTTCTCAGCCCTCTGCACTTTTATAGTTTCTCCCTTTTAGAAGCGTTAGTGCCAGAAATAAACATGGTGCTTTAATAAAGATCTGTGGTTTTTGAAATCACTCACACTGTAGGGAGCTGACCCCAGTGCAGGCTCAGCTCTGTCAATTTGGTGTCAAAACTGGGAACCTAATGGTCTCACAGAGAGCTGGACTGGAAAGGGGAGCTTGCACACTTACTGCTTGTCATTCTTTTTGCTTGTGGAAGGGTGATAATGTTCTCAGTGAAGGGACTGAAACATTATAGCATTTCTGCAGGTGGCAAGAATTAAATTAATTTAGTGCTTGCAACGCTTTTCAGCTGTTCTTAGATAAGACCTAATATTTTATGCCCAAAATATATATTGGGGAAAATGAATGATGTTTAAGATTGGCATAAGCTACAAAGCAATATTTTATGTTGATAAAAATCTCAACAGTTTTTTACAAGTAGAGCCCCACAGAGATACTTCAGAATTAATTGATGGCAGATGAATTTAACACAGTTAAAGTGAATTAAACCCTTCGCTATTTAGAATAATATAAAAATGTCTGAGTTTTACTCCCAAAAGAGGAAATGCAGTTGTTAAGCCCAGATGGATTTTTATTTTTATTGGAACAAGTTTTGAGACTAGTAATCTTTTTTTTTTTTTTTCCCACTATTTTTTTCAAAACTTTACTACCACATTGTTGGATCCGGGACAGAGCAGACCTAGTTTTCTATGATTATTAATTCTTTAAATAGTTTTAAAACCAGTTAGATGAGTAGTTTGACTATATTGATTTTTAAAAACTTCCGTATTACATTTCTAAGATTTGGAAATTAAGTGCACGGATGATATAGAAAACCCAGTGGGATGGTCCTCTGTCAAGTTACTTTCAGCTGAGCTGGGTAACTGACAATTACCCTCACACAGCCTGTGATTGTCGCCTGCCCAAATGCAGTTAAGCCCCACCTGTTTTTGGCACAGCGACTGATGGTGATTTTTGCCTTGTGCTGCGGGCTTACATGGAGGCCACTGCTGTGATGCTGCAAGTGACGTGGTCAGGTGATCTCCTCTGAGGCTTAAATTGCAAATAAACTTTGAGGAATTCAGTCCATTCATTTAGCGGGAGGCAGGAGGCGGCTCTACGGTCACACGATCCATCACATGAGCCAATGGCTAAAAGTCATCATCAGCCACTGATGAGCGATGGCTGCCATTGTGACTGTGATTAGTATCTGATGTGAACCCCACGTGGCACAATAAGTGGCGTCAAGCAGAGGCTATATTTGCTTGGCTCTTGGCACCCTTCCTGCAAACAGTGCGAAAGTGAAGGGTGGTGAATTGAAATGTGTTCATATGGGAGTCGCTAGCTCAATTAAGGATGTGGAAAGCAAGCTTTATGATGAGGACGAAACATGCACAAAACACTTGGCTTAGCAAACAGCACCAGGGGAAGAGCTAATCTTAATAAAGAAGTGCCTAAATGGGGACAAAAAAATGATAATATATATGATAAGAATTCTGCAGTCAAACAGGAAAGTGTTGTGGTTCAGTTCTGGCAAGATCAACGAAACATATTGAAAATAAAATTATGTCTAAGTGAATAAATTATAGCTACTTTGTTGGGTATTGACCTCATCATTTGTTACGTTCTCCAGTGTTCTGCCGTTGCTGGATGACTGCTGGTTGGCTGGCTAGTGAAGAAGTTCTTTTGTTTCCTCATGCAATGAAGCATAAGGGCATATTAAAGAAAAATAGCAAGAAAATATTACAGCAAGAAACAATACTAAGGAAAAGGGGAAAATGAACTTGTACTCTTGTGTTACAGATTCAGTGGTTCTTTCCTTTGACTCCGTTGGACATACAATAGGCTCAGGTACAACATTGCCTTTTTCTCTCTCTCCCACCTCATGACAAGGCTTCTGTTTGATAGGACACGGTAGCCATGTTGGGAGGCAGGTAACCCACAGTGGATAAATAGGTCCTGGAGGAAGTTTTAACTTAGTCCTAGTGTGAAACAAGGGCTAATGTGTGGAACCACTTCCTCTGCCCAGCTAGGAGGATGACCTGGCCGCGTTACGTGCGTTAGTGCTGCTTTTCTTATGTGAAAGGCATGAGGATGATGTCACCTGCCAGCTGAAGAAAAACTGTTCCAGCTACTGGGAGAGTTTCTCAGTTAAATAAACAGTTGAGTTATTTGGGGAAAGAAATCAGGAATGCTTCCAGGAAGGAGAAAGCAAAAGAGTCGTAGCTCAACAAATAGGGCTGGAAACTTTTTTTTGGTTGGAGGATGACCAGCATTATCAAACCTCAGGGCCAATGCTGCCCGATCTGACTCCTTTTGGAACCCAAGCACGATCTTCAATTCAGCTGAATCAGAAATCAAAAATTCTTTTGTGTTAGAGGCATATGAAATCAGTAACTATTCTTTTGGCTATCAGTAATACATGAACTGTAGCCAAGGCTGCACAATAGCGGGCACCATACTAGATAAAATTCAGTTTACAGTGTATGCATAATAACACGTGAACTGCAAGGGAAAAGCTAAGAATTACTTTCACAATATAAAAAGCCCTTAACACTCAAAAGATGAGGTTATTCACTCTCTTGAAGAAAAGAAAATATAATCCAAGCAAACGTTTCACATTGTATCTTAATTATTAGCCTTAGGCTCATAGGAGGAACATGCTGCCTTCCAACATAGCACCTGTCGGCTGCCTGCACGGTTTGAAAGAGAGCCTGTTGCCTGACACTAACAAAGCTTGGATGCAATTCTGGTTTACTAACCCCAGAGCTAGTGGTAGTAACTTGCTTTGTTGACAGTACCCAAACGCTTTGCTGTCCCTGCACCACTCTCTAAAACTTGTAGCTGGAAGTTGGTCTGCTGTGGATGCATTTTAACTCAGGGTGTAGAGTGGGCATGTTGCCATGCCGATGGGGAGGAAGAACCTCTCTTACTTCCCTTCTGCTGATGTGTAGCAGTCACAACTGAAATGTGTCGCTGCCTTCTGTATTGGATGATAGCTTCTTCCATCTGGGAGGGGGTGAAGTTCTGTAGGTTTGAAGTAAGAAATCTGGGAATAAAATTCAGGGTGGTATTTTATTTTGCTTACAGCTGAGTAAGCCTGAATCAGCATATCTTTACTGGCATGATGCTGGATTGATATTGGTACAACTGAGACCAGAATATGTCCTGGAGTAAAACTTTGAAATATTACCCACTGTGTTTTTTTTTCTAATACTTTTTGGCTTCTAACTGATATCAAAGCAGTTTAACCCTGTGGAGAGCTTCCAGTGGAGGGTATCTTTGGAATTAGTCACATACGTTGTGCTCTGATGTTACCAACAAAGTGGGAGATTTATTTATAAGAAAGAAATTCAACTGCTGCTCCAACTGCTCCATGTTTCGTGGAGTGCTGATAGGAGCAGGGTGGGACACAAGGCTCATATGAGCCAGCAAACTGTCTGAGTCTCTTTGAAGAACGCTGCTCTTTGCTCCGCTTGTGCATTGCAATGCAAGCTTGGGTTGGGTAGGAATAAGACCGTAAAATTTGATCTTCTATTGCACTGCAACCAGATTGAATTTCTTCATTGAAGAAATATGAAGAAAACTCTTATTTGAGAAGGGAGGCTGAAAAACGCCCCAGAGAGCTGTATGTTTATTGCCTTCATATTGAGCATTCTGCATCCATTGTTCTGGGAACGAGCTTGCTCTGTACTGATATGTGTAATAAAATGTGTGATGTCTGTCCAACTGAGGGATAGCTTTCCTTGTTGAACAGGAAGGAGAGAGAGAAAAGCTGTGGCCATTGTGCTTCCGCTGTCCATCCCATCTCACCTTGCTGCAGACCCAGGAAAAGACAGAGCCCAGAAAGAGCCCAAAGAGACAATGGCAGCTGCAGACCCAGCCATTCCCAGTAGGTGACGTTTCAGGTCGGGGTAAGAAGGGGCAAAAGTTGCATACTGTGTAACATAAATACATATGCTCTTTTCTTTATCAGTCACAATTAAACAGCTGCGAATAATATATTTGCTGTTTAAAATAGTCATGCTGTTTAGAACTACTACACTTGACCTTTATTTGCATACTAAACAGCTTTTAGAATTGTTCTTTTGTAGTTGTTAATCACGCTGTGTGAAGGGCAACGTCTTGTTGCAGTGTCTGTATTTATTGGAGCTGGCTGTTAATCTCCATCTTGCTTTTCTGCTTAATTTTTTGTTCTGTGCAAATCTTGGTTTTCACTGAGGCTGGGAATTTGGCTACTCTGCATAAAACTTTCTGAGCTCAGTGTTCAAAAGATCACCTGGCTGTTAAGCCTTAAATTATCCTTCATGGAAGGATGCCTACAGACATAATAGTCAAATGTTGTGCGGTGAGCCTGAGCTCTGTGAGCTCCTGCCTTCTCGTACCCAGGTGCCTTTGTGATTAGCTGACAGATTGCCCCTTCCTTTGAAAGACAAAGTTTGAGCAGCAAAGGTGAATGTTTGATGTGATGTGCAGGCTGATGTTTCAGCTGAAACTGATTCAGAAAAGGTTTTCATGCCCTGATCTTGGGAAGCACTAAGAAGGACGCAGTGTTTGAATAGACCTAGATTTCATCTGCTTACAGCAGAGAGCAAGATCTCTTGGCCCCAGTTGCTAGCATATCAAACACTGGATGACCATGGAAGCAAAATTTATGCTCTCGCTGTGTTTAAGACTTTTCCTGCCTCCTGTGTATGAGATACATGTGAAATGTTACTTTGCTAAACCTCAGTAGAACAATTACATGTCCTCTGAAATACTAACCCAGAGTGAACATAGTGACTGTTTTCCTACATTTTGGGTGGAGAGTGGCGTGATGGAGGCTAGGGCAGGCATACAGCTGACATTGTTGTGTGTCAAGCTGGCGGAATTGTGACAGGTGCCCAGAGTGAGAGGAGAACATTGGTGACCTGCAGAAGATGGTGTGCAGTCCTGTGGCTTTCCCCGTGCAGGTCTGCCAGTACCAGTGGATGCAATTATAAGTTCTGTCGATCAGTTTCAGAAATATCCTTAAATCTGCTCATTTTGATTTCTTCACACAGTATCTAAGTTAATTTCATTAAGTTTGAAGAATTTATGAGGCTCTGGTAGGTGGTCTTGGTTTGAGGAGAACAATTTCAATTTACCTTTGGAGCTGTTGGGGTTTGATTGTGTGTTGGATTGTTTGTTTGCTTTTGATCTTTTCCCACATTGCGTGTCAGAATCTCTCTCAACACTGCTGGCGCTGCTGGGAGAGAAGAGTTGGACTTAATATGCTGTATTTTTCTGTATTCCTGTAAATCAGAGAATAAATAGAATAAATAATCTTTTTTTAAAGTCCTGCTGGACTTAGTGGCTTTATTTGGCAAAAAATGTTTTTCTCTTTTCGTTTCTGATTAATGATGTTCTGCTTCATTCTTTGCTTCTTTGAGCTGTAGACTGTGGGAGCTGCTTGAGACTGTGCCAAGGGCTGTCATGTATTAGTTACACAGTCCTTATGTGACTTTGCCTGCATGTTCAGCATCATTATCTATCTTACTCTCATTTATGCTCTTTTTCTCCAATTGAAAATACAGCTGTGAATGAGCTGAGGTGCAAATGCCAAGAAGCGGCCTAAAAAATACCTTGAAATACAAATACTTTAATGGGATTTGCCTCTATCATGTGGCATCTCTTTCCCATCGAGTCAGTACATCCTGTAGGTCAGTAAAAGCCAATAGATTACTGTTTTGTTAATATTGTTCTTGACTTTTATTAGGAAATACGATACAATTTCTAAAATAAAGAATACCTCAGAAGATTCAGTAGGGTAGCATTAACTCCATTAGCCACATGAATACATGACAGTAAATGAAACAACTGCTTGTTTAGCAAAGATTGCAGTCTGGCTTTAAATAGATGACTCCCTAGGAAGAGAAAAGGGCATATGTAGTTCATAGGAGGAAATATTTCATCTTCCTATTGTAGTCTTTCATTTTGTCTTAGAGTAATCCACTGCTCTTCTATCCTTGGAGGTTGCTGTGGGTTCATTAGGAAAAAATTGTCAGCAGATATACAGTTTATGAAAGGCTTTGGTTACCCTTAGTGTAATGTGCTAGAATGTCATCTTTTTTTTTTTTTTTTTGCTTTATTATACCTTTTTTGGAGGGAAGATCAGCAGGCAAAAGACCTGCAAGTGATTGCTTATTTGTTCTCCATGTGCCTGGGGGATGAGTAATGTAGTCGCAATTCCTAGCGAAGGAGACCTCTCTGTGTATTGCTTTCTTCAGGCTGTAAAGCTGGGCCAGGTATCTTTGAGGGGCCCCAATCAAGAATTACAAGAGGGGAAAAAAAAGCCAACACAAAACACTGAAGATGTAGGCACAAAACAACGTGAAAATGGCTTCCTTTTGCTGCTAGATCTGAGAAAATAAGCCGTATTCTCAAGAGTTTGGGTGTCACCAGAAGATGCAGGGTTTGTGACTGAGGAGAGATTTCCCCATTCTCCTGCTTTGAACTCACAGATTTGAACTTCTTTTGTGCTGATAGTGCTTGCAGTATCTATCTCCATCAGATTTTAATCAGTTGCAGTATCTAATGAATAAATACTGAGCTTGGTGCAGCGGAGTGGGTGTCTTTAGATCAGTATGCATAGTTTGAACCGTTTTAATAGATCTGAACTACCAAGTTTTGCTGCCTGTGTTGAGCACTGCTCTACAGTTCCTGCCTTTTGCTGCATCAAATATTGTCCAATTTTAACCATTTGGGCTGAAATCTTTTATAACAGAGAGGGGAGACCGCATTTCAGTTATGTTTCCTAAATGTTTAAGTTAATCTTTTAAATAATGTAAAAATAAATAAATAAATATCAACATCTTCAAAATATTGTACCAGTAATTAAGGAAATACTCTCCATCTCTCTCCATATTTGTCTCGATCCTGTCTATATGCAGAAGAGTAAATGGGATTAGGGAAAAAGTAGAACACAGGCTTTTAGGGATGGACATGCAGTCTTTGAAAGGACAGGGCTGAGGAGCCCAAGTAGCCTCAGTTCTGTACCTTCTTTCCCTTACAATCCATTTTTTTTTTTTTGTAGTTACTCAGCCTCAGGAAATAATGCTTTCATCAGGAAGATCTTTCCCTGAACAGGTTAAAGTGAAAATCCTAAGGAAAGGATGCAGTGTTAAGCCCTTGTTTGTCTATTGTTGCTCATTAGTCCTGCGAAGTATTTTTTTAACCCTGAAGGAAAACTTTTCCTCCTTTCCATTACAGTTGATCCATTGCAAATGACCTTTTTTTGTCAATTGATTCTTGTTTCTTGAGGTCTAGCAGAATCGCAGCTGAACTTTCCTCACTGCCCATATGTGCTGTCTTCATCCAAGGTCAGTGTGAGGTGTTGGGCCCTTTTTCATCGCAGGATAAGTCATTTTACCTCGCCTTTGCCACAGATGTAGAGCATGTGAACAGTGACCAAGGCTTAGTTCAGCTCAAGGCCTCGATTCCACCGAGACTGAATTGCACTGGGCAGGATGAGAAGTGTCGGGGTGGTCTGAGTTGTTCTTCAAGCACTTCTGTCTCCTGAGTGTCATACAGATTCCTCTGGTGAGCACAAGCAGCTTGAATAAAACAGCTATAATTGAACTTTCTGCCTTCCCTCCTCTATTTGCATTACAGGAGAGATCTAGTGCTGCATCTAGCCCATCTTTTTAAAAAGTTTAAATTAATTTTCTGCTTTTGTAGACAAAGTTATTTGTACCTTCTAAATAGCTGAGTGCTACAGGGACAGAGTTCAAGTGTCGGTGAAATCACAGTGGTTTGGAAGGATAAAACAAGTGAGCCAAGTTAATGCCTGGAATGTTGATTTCAATTAGTAGCAGAAGTGGAAAATTTTGCACGTTTTGCATGCATATAGCTATATGGTTACAGATGCAAAATGCAAATTGAAAACTTGATTGGTATCAAAGCTGTCTGGCTTTTTGGGTGGTCTGTATGGAGTTTCTAGACATTTGACATTGCATTTCATACTTGCTGCCTGGTACTCAGATTTGTGTTGGATACTTTGAAGAAATTTTCACATTATACAAACAGAATTCGGTATGCAATTAGCATCATTTGTCGAAATTGCTATGGTTTGTTGTCAGTTATTAAACTGTTATTCAATGCTGATCTTCCTGGAAGTGTAAACATGCGTTTTTATCTCTGACCTAAGCAGACCTCTTACTCATATGGGCATGTGATGAAACTTTCTCCCCATGTTCATTGATTTCTGTGCTTCTGCACACCACTTTTTCAGCTGAGATCTGTAGCTTCCTAGCACAAGTGAGGAAGTGTCCTCAGATATCCTTGTTTGCTTGTGATACTGTTATTTTTATCACATATGGGATTTAGAGGCTCAGCCTCATGGGCTGAGAAGGCGCAGTCTTGTTCTAACTCATCCATGATGTTCTTCTTGTGGAAGGGCCAATGTCTCACCTCGGGAACATGCTCATCAGGGCCGAGTTAGGTGGAGATGCTGGAGCATTTCTGTCTCATACTCTATGGCTGTATTTTCCATTTTCTTCTAGTAGTCTTTTTCCCACTGCAGAGGAGGAGGAAACGAAGAAGAATGTAAAAGAATATTGTTGCTTATCAACTAGCTAACTTGGTGAGTAAGGCTTTGAACAAGGTGACGAGAGGTGGCAAAAACCTTCAGGTTAGGTGCAGGTTCTTGCAGCTGGTGTTTCCATAGGAGGAAAGGACAGGAGTGGTGGGACTGTCCCCTTCCCCTAACATGGCTGTGTGATGAGCACAGCCCATCTGTTGTCATCACGCCCTGATCATACTGTATTTTCAATTCAGTTATATTTTGATTTAGTGGGTCTGTGTTTCATTGTGTTTTAAATTACACACATAACTCCAGACAAGAATTGCCTGTTCCTGCAGCTGGGCTGTGTGCATTTTGGCTTTTTCCATGTATTCGGATTTTTATCGGTCTTTTGCGATTCCAGACCACTTCCTGCCAGCACATGGACTGTACCTCTATGTGCTGTGGTCATTAGGAGCACAAGGGCCAAAAGGGACACAGCCATATAGCACTTGGCATCTGTAACAGCTGATTTATGTTAAAAATAAAGCTTACTTTGAATCCATAACTTCCAGGCTCCTAATGTTTTTCTTTGAGGAGAAGCAAGATGTAATGGAGATGCCTTTCCCAGCCAACAGCGATGCCCTGACTTCACGGAATTACAGAATGGCGTAGGTTGGAAGGGACTTTGAAGACCATCCCATTCCAACACCCCTTCCATGGACAGGATTGCCAACTGCTACATCAGGCTGCTCACATAAAGGCCAGGCTGTGAGCGAGCAGTGACCGGTGGTGAGGGCAGTGTTCCTTTGCCTGCCTCAGATTGCACCACTCTCCAGCCTGGGGCAGGGGATTTGTGCTTCTCGGTCTGGTTTTACAGCTTGAAAGGACAGAATGTGTCCTTCTGAAAGCAAACAGTGCACCTGTGCTTCTACTTTGAAACCAGCAATGTTTTGGTTTTTTTGTTATGCTTACTTAATCTTGGTAACTTAATCTTGGAAAGTGACTTTTCTAAGATAGATGACATAAATGTTATAAGGTTACTCCATATCTCTGTTAGTATAGTCTTTACTGAACAGAGAATCCTAGAATCAGTAAGGTTGGAAAAGACCACTAAGATCATCCCACCCCACCATGCCCTCTGACCTCATCCCCCTCAGTGCCACATCCCCACATCTTGAACACCTCCAGGACAGTGACTCCCTGAGCAGCCTGTGCCAGACCATCACCACTGTTCTTGAGAAGAAATTTTTTCTCACGTCCAACTTAACCCCCCTGCCACAACTGAAGGCCATTACATTAAAAACTTTAAACTGAGGGATAGAGAAGAGCAAGCGGCAAACAGAAGGTAAATCTTACAGAAGGTTGCAGTGGAGGTATGTCAGCTGTATGTGGAGTTTGGAATGTGTTTGTTTTCTGGTGCTTTGGTGCTTGTAAAATGCTGAGCTAGCAGAAAGCCCAGGATGCTGTTATAGTTACGAGGTGATGTATCTCTTATTGCTTTTCTTCTATTTGTATTTCCTGTTGGGAAGAAGAGAATGTTAACTGGAGTTGGGGTAAGAATGATGACAGGCTTGCCAGTGATTTTCCTTTGTAAAAAAAAAAAAAAAAAAGAAGAATAAATCTCTATTGCTATTTGCACAGATGGATGTTTTTGGACAGAGAAAGGGTTAATAAAAATTGAAAGCATGATTTTTCCCAGACCTTCCTTTGGCGGAGGGAGGGTTTGACAGGAAATGGTTTCTTCTAGGTGGAGTAAAGTGGGAGAAAACTGGGAGGAAACAACATCTGGGGGCAGCACAAGTTTCAGGATGTGGGAATTGGAGGAGGGAGGCACAGGTGCATTTCTCATACTGGGTACATTGGGAATGGTGGGTGGCACAGGGGTGCTGGCAGGGAATGGATGGGACATGCTGAGTTGAGTGCATGTGTTCTCCAGCTTCTGTTAGCTAAGTTATGTCATCTGTGATTCTTCCCTTAAATCTGGAATTAAATTTTAACATATTTGAAACCATTGATGCAATTTCTACTGACCTGTCCAGAGCAATCATTTCATCTTAGATACGTGGCTAGGCTTTCCCCTTCTGTAAGTGAGTTTGTCATCTTGGGTAAACTTCTGCAGCAGAGATTCCTGTGTTGTTTCATGAGGAACACAAACAAAAAATATGAGAGTTTTTTTAATTTGTTGGTCTATTTTGTCTTGTTTGTTTTTTGTTTAATATATCCTGAGTGCACAGGGGATTATCTGTTACTTTTGTGTTAATTTTCATCTTATCGTAGTGGTCCTCAGTGTGAGGAATCCCTGGAGCACATATAACCTGATAGAATAAGGATTCTGCACCTTTTTGACTTTTTGAGGGGGATCTAATGTGAATTCTCAGAGCTTAATCTGTTGTATGGAGTACTTGATTTAAAGATAACTGTACATTCAAAGATGCTGACTACAAAGCTTACTTTATACAGGATTTACAGAAACAAAGTTTTCACCCCGAATATCTCTGACCCTTTTGAATATCTCTGACTGTTCCCTTTTGGATCCTGTAGCACAGACTCTGACTTTACAGTTTCTGTTGAACAACATCATGTGAACGTGATGCATTTTTGCCTCTCTGTGTGACTGCCTTGAGGAAGGATGCTTGACTATGAAATCATGTGTTGGAACATGCAAGGAATCAAAAAACATTTGAGAGATCCACTGCTTCAGGACCTAGGAGGAGTATTTGTCATAAAATTACAGGCTCTGCTTTGCTATTTTGACCAGTCATTTCTGGTCATTTCTAAGTTAATCATGGCCCAAATGCTGCAATATTTTGTGGGATTTAGCAATTATAGTTTGGGAATACTTTTATATAACAATCTGTTACAGCAGCTGCTAGCAACTGGAAATTCTAATGCATCTGTTTTCAGTTAGAAATAATTATTGCCTTTCTGTAAAGGTATGCTGCTGTTTTGTTTGGGGAACTTTTGGAAAGGAGGCAGTTGCAGTTTTTATGATACTGTCCCTTGCTTTTGTTTTCCAGAGTATGACAAACTGGGCTTTCTCCTGAACCTGGACTCAAAATTGTGAGTACATCTCTATCTTCTTTGTTTCTGTAGTTATGATTTTCTTTTGCAAGCAACTCTTACATCACATGGGTGGTTGGCTTACTGAGCATATGGGACTGCCACGTCCTATGGCAGCCTGGCAATTAGAGCTTCATTGCTTACACTATGCAGGCTGCCTTGGATTGAGGTTTGCTACCATTAATTTCTTAATGACTGATCAAGAAGCTATGAATGTCCACGTGAAACCATGCCTGCCAGTCTGCTCTAAGTGTCCTATCCTAGATAGACATCTTCCAAATGAGAAGAAATGTATAAAAAAAAAATTGAAAGCAGGAGGAATGTCTGTCCTCCTCTGCAATTTACTTGAGATGTTTTTAGAACTTTATGATTCCTTTCCATTTATTTATTTAAAAAATGGGTACTCCTGTTTTTGTTTGTAAAATGGACCTCGATAGGAGTTAGCAGGAGTGACAGAAGAGAGCAGAAGTGCTGAAGGATGATGTTTTTTGTGGTTTTTGCCCTAATCTGTCAAATTGAACTGAACCTCCTAACACTAGGGGTCACCAGTGACTCTGTTTCCGAGGTCAATGGAGAAATTTTGACATCAGGAGCAAAAAGACTACGAGAAACTTGACTCTACTACCTAAATGACATTGAGGCAGTCAGTGGCTTTTAATGCCTTGAGGATGCGTCACCCATACTATGGATCAGGTTAATATGAAAAACATTCTTAATGTTCTAAGGAGCTTCTCTGTACTCACTGGGCGTAACATGAAGGTTTTGAGTTTAGTGACGAGGGTAAGTGACTTCTGAAGGAACATTTTGGTGTCAGTAAGAGAAAAATGGCTCTGGGTTTTTTATTAGTCTGGTTATTGTTATTTTTGGTAATGACTGATGTATTGAAAATGCAACTCAGTGACTTCCCTCACATTTTTTATATACTCGGTTTGGATATCATCAGCCTGTGCTGTGTCTAAGCTACAGTTTCTGTTCCTTCTTCATTTCTTCTGTCTTCACTGTCCTGTTCTCTGTTACTTCCAGCAAGTCTCATTGAGCCTTTCTTAACTTCATACATCTGTTACAACTTCTCTTCTTTGCTGACTTCTCTGCTTAAGTTACAGATCTTAGAGATGCAGCCTGTTCCTTCTTACGCTTCAGTACGAGGTCAAGTGAGGTTTTTATCTGCTGGAGGGCTTCCAAAATCTAAATAGTTTTATTTAAAATAAAAAAAACTCCCTCTGATAAAGGCTGTTATCTTCAATTAAAAAAAAAAAAAAAAGATTTTTGTGGACTGCTGTGTAGGTGAAAACACACAGGTGGATTTTTGTTTTCCTTCTTCTTCAGAAGTGAATATGGCCCTGCTTTGGGAGTGGACCTGCTGGCCTGCAGGGATGCCTTCCAAGCAGAATTGTGCTGACCGTTTTCACTGGCAAGAGAGCTAGAGAAAAACTGATAATACCATAAAACATACTAAGTAGATGTCGAATAAAAAGTGAGTGATAGAAGCTGAAGCCTAGAGGAATTTGCTGCCATTCCACAAGTTCACCACGTAGTCATGATACCAAATGCCTTTTTGAAGTACATACTTAAAAGTCAGAGAAACTTAAGGGTTAAAAATGTGTTATCGCTTTCTGTGACTTTTACTCAAGATCATACTATGACAGAATGACTTTCTGGTTAACAACAACTTACCCAGGGAGTTAAAAGGGATAATAAGTTCTGCACTGATGACTTTACTGGCAGAAATAATTCAATTATGTCTGTTGTGATATAATTGTTCTGGTGGAATTTTGCCATAGATCATAATTTTATAGAGTTCACTTAATTGACAGCGAATGAGAACGTTGTGTGACTTTGAAGCACTTGGGGCAACAATTTGTTTTGTTTTGGTTTGGTTTTGGCTCTCTTAATCTTTCATTTGTTCAAAATCTGTTCCTGGCTGGTTGTGTTACTTAATCTCGTTTAAACCAATGACTTGGAGGAGTAACGCTTTCTACAAAGCTAGATTTGCAATAAAAATTAAATGCTTCAACCTGCCTTTTAAATCACATTATACGGAGGAAAGCACTTGTCAGAAATAAATAGTAATATGTCCATTTGCTTTTTGCATCTTCAGTTTTTTTTCATTTATTACTGCTTCAGTGTCCTTTACCTTGTAGGTACCCAAGGCATGCTATTGAGATGCAGTGCATTTTGTCATCGTTACAGCAGTGTGATGGTTCTGTTCAGTGGCTTGCTTTGAGTTTGTGAGTGTGGTAAGGAAGACAGATTTATCTGCTTTGGAAAGAAAGTGTCAGAAATACATGTATGTCTTCTTTTGGAAGTGTTTGTCTGATGCATGCGTTACTGCATGCACTCGGGATCCCAGCTGCTGTGGCCAGGAATCTCACCTGGAAGGGGATGGGGGGTTCTTAAGAAATGGAAAAGATGAGTTCTTACCAGAAGTCTTACTGCTCTGAGCTTGTCAAGAGAATGGCAAGAAGAAAGCCTCTTCCTTTCTGCTGCCCATCCTTAGGCTAACTCTGGATTGGGAAGTCCTTTCTCTTCTAAAAGGGAGGATAGTAGATTGGTAGTGGATGAATGGAAAGCTGCAGACATCTGCAGGCAGGATAGTTTCTGAATTTTTTTTTTTGTAGTCAAATTTTGACTAAAAAATGAGCCGTGAAGCTCCTCAGGACCAGATTAGTAAAAAAATGTACTGCAAAAGGAGCTGATCTTTGAGTTTTGTTTGTACCAGCCATAGTGTCACTGCCAAAACTAGAATACCAAACCCAAATATGCTCAAAGTATATAGGTGGGCCAATGGCATCTTTTTCTCCCAGGTGAAGCAGTTTCCCAAGCAGCAGAGCCACGTACTATTTTAAAAGCTTTAAATCCAATATTTACTGGTTGTGTAGGGAAATGCACTTATATAGAAATAAATACATTACAATTCACAGGTCTTGATTCTTTTAGGGGTGACTGGTTTCTGAACAACTTAGGGACATCAGTCACGTTAGTGAGTCAGCCAGAGGATTACTGGGTGCCATCAAAATTTGCAGTTGCTTTCTAACATCTGTGTTTGGCAAAAGGGCTGCATGCTTTTAGTACTATTAAATATTTGTATTGTAGGAGTTCTTTGAGGCTGGCCAGGTCCAAGAAACGAGAGCCTCATTCACTGTGGGCTCTGAGTCACGCTCTGAGCAGGTTCTATATTTGCACTGAGTGGAGGGAGAGTGCTGCAGGAGGATCAGTGTATGATCATGAAGTTAATTATAGACAGTGTCTTAATGCTCATTCAGCGACGCCTGGCTTAAGATTATGTGGTCCTTCTTTGGTTTATCACTTTTTGTATTTGGTTTAATGCCGTTAATGGTTGCTTCAAGTATGCCTTGGCATGTTACAAATGTAGATTTGCTTGCTATGGCACTCAGATCTTTTTTTGTCATAGCCTGTGTGATCTATGGGCTGTTCCCTTGCGTTGTTGCCCTTGTGCTTCTGTACTTGTTTTGCATGCCTGCATGCCATTCTGTTACTCAGTGCAATGGAAGCTAGCATCTGATCACACTGCCACTTATGTCCTCATCTCAACTTCATCCTTCTAAAGCTACTTCCAGAGATACTTTATCCAGAAGAAAGCCCAGCATGGGTGATGGCCGTTCTCTCCACCTGCTACCACAGTCAGCTCTCAGCGTTAAAATCTTAGCTGATGAATGGTGGAGGAAGCATCCCAGGCTTTGTTTTGTTTGGTTTTTTTTTCTGGGTAAGAATTATTCCTGAGTGCAAATGTCTTGCAAGTGATAGAGAATGTTTGAGCTTATTGCTGCCAATTGGGATCACTGGAAGTAAAAAAGTGTTCAGTTGGTTAGATAGTGATATTATAATGTATTAACTTGAGAAGGCTCACTTTTATAATAGGTAGAATCAAAAGGAAAAAAAAAATAGCCCCTGCAATCAGAAAAATGATCGAGATGATTATGATTGATCACAGTAGCATAACACTAACACACCTACTATATAGTGTTCTTACAGTATATGGCATACAGTTTATATTGCATAGTTCTGGGATTTGTACATGATAATTAAAGTGACTGTTGTTTTTCATCATGCTCTGTGCACAGTACTATCTTGTGATACTGTCCACATGTTTTTCCAGTATTACAGACTTGAGAGATGCAACAAAAACTTTTGAATATTTGTGATAATTTGCAGGCTGTCCTCAAAAGCGAAAGACAAAGAAACGGAGTCTTTGTAAAATAAATAAATAAAAACGAAAGCCAGAAATAACAACTTTCACCCTGCAAACTCAAATGAAACTTAATCTGGTCTTTGAAAAGACCGTGAAAAAAGGGGGAGTTGGGGTTGGGGGAAAACACAGATTACTTCTGTTTGTTGAAATTTCTTTCCTTCGGAGCTTTAATAATGAAGAAGTGAAATAGAGCCCCTTCCCCTCATTTTGTTTCTGGAGTGGGAGGTAGCTTTGAAACTGCGTGTGTCTGTGTGTGCTACCTCGCCATTAAGCGCTGTAAAAATAAGCAATGAACCTGTTGGAATGCTGGGCTTTCGCTGTGCCCAGTGCTGTGGGATTTTTCTGTGCCCAATTCCCCTTCCCATTTATCTTTATGCATTTCTGCAGTCCAAGGTGTGGGGGGAAATGTCAAGTGAGCAGTCACCAGTGAAGGTGATGGGTGCATTCTGCCAACCATGAGTGTCCCTGTGCTGCTTCTGAAAAACGATTTCAAGGCTTAACATACTTCACAACATTGGTATTTTCCTGATGCTCAGTTATTTATTTCTTCTTCATTTCAGATTTTTTTTTCCTTGACTTTCCGTTACTGCCTACTTAATCTCCTCCAATCTGTACCGATAGTTGTAGTATTTCAACTGTTTTAAAGTGAATCTTAGCTATTCGCATTGATTCAATCATTGGGCTTTTTGTTCACCACATCAAACTTCATGTGTGGTTGGGATCTAACTGCTTTCCCAGTTTTTTGTTTGTTTTTCTTAGCTTATTTCATTTCCATTTCAATTTTGGTACT